GAACACGGTTATAAGAACACCATTTAATAAATAAATAGGTAGATGATAGATAGATAGATAGATAGATAGATAGATAGATAGATAGATAGATAGATAGATAGATAGATAGATAGATAGATAGATAGATAGAAAGAAAGAAAGATAGATAGATAGATAGATAGATAGATAGATAGATAGATAGATAGATAGATAGATAGATAGATGAACACGGTTCAGCATCTGGAAGCCAAAACTCTGTTCTGATGCCCACCCCTTCAAACTCTGTTCAGATAAGGCTAACGTGACCTCTATTCCAGCCTTAGAACTAGCAGTTGCTTCTTATATAACCCCAGTTTTCCCTCTTTGTATGTTTCAGTCCTCTGCTAGGTACTTAGCAAATCCTCTACATTAAAACTCTCACTATTGAAGTACCTTGCCTGAAACTGAACCTTCGTTTGTTTCCTGGGTCAACATGATATACAATCACCACACACTACCTGCCAGTGACCACTACTTGACATCTCCCTTTATTATTTACTCATGTGTTTCAGTCTCCAGAATCCACCCCACCACTCCACTAGGACTGGAGAAGTCAAAATGAGTAAGACATCACTGTTTTGAAAGGGATTGTAACCTAGGGTGGAAAATGTGCACCAAAACATTCAACAAGCACTATGGGTAGATACTGCATTCAACAGAGGTGTATTCAAGAGTAGGGGTGTCCAATTCTGTGAGGGTCAAGGGCTGAGAGTAGGAGCAGGACAGTGTCAAAGGGAAGGCCATTGGGTTTTTTCATGACATGCATTTCTTTCTAAACATTTCTGATTTAAAAAAAAAAATCTTAATCCAACTCCTCCACTGAAGCTTCCTTGGCCACATCAGCCTTTTGCCATAGTGTTTTCACTTATGGAACTTCTCATAACAGCCACAGGAGCATCTGTGAAAAATTCACTAAATAATTTTTTATGCCACACACAATGCTAGAGGTTTTGCATGAGTAATTCTCATTTAATAGTTATTTTATCATAGTAATAATAATATAGTGGGTAGCTACTATTTTTTCTAGACTTGCAGTTGAAAAATTGAAATCCATATAGATTCAATGACTTCACTTATGCCTGACAACTCAGAAGTTATAATACAAACTGAGCTCTGAAACTCCATAGCTTAACCAACTTCTTGGTTAAATATCTTTAAAACTATACACTAAAATATTGTTAGCGGCTTCCATCAGATCATATTCCCCATAAGGACAGGACCATCTAAACCTGACTCCTTAGGACATACTAGAAAGTCAATGAGCACCTGACTTGCAGTGAATGAATTAGCTCACCAATGGACTTGACTGCAGTCCACACTAACTTAAATCATGAAGCATTAGCACTCTAACAGAATTACAGCGGAAAGAAATTGGAAATGGTGTCTGTCTGTCTGACTGGTCATTGTCAACATGAGTGTGGCTTTGAACAATGGAAGTGACAGGTCAGTGGTTTGGTTTTTGTAGAAAGCAAAATCTCTTCATGCTGGTTTGCAAAAAAAATGCATACTCATATTTTTCAGCCCACATACCATCCTAAGAACCTGTATTTTAATCTATTTCAATTTGTAGTTAAAGTAGCCAATCCCTTGTAAAACTAAAGGCTTATTCATATTCATACTTATTTGCATGTCTAGGTGATGAAGGGCTAGTATATAGAAAATTATCTAGCAAGTTCTGTCATCTCTAAACACAATCATGTTGTGTGTCTTCAATATTCATTTAATCCCTCAGATCCATGCAAAAATACCACTATGTATCTGATAGAAAAAGAAAAGTCCGACAGGTTTGGGCTTCCCAAATGTATCAGGGGTGCATAGTTTGAAAAGGACCCTTTCTTAGTTCTTGGGAACATCACTCTTGATACTTTCCACTCAATACAGACCACTTGTAGGAAGAAATTCTAGGGAATGAACAAGAAGAAACTCAGGATAAATGCAAGCATGTTAACATATCATTGAGTAAATGGAGAACTACGTGACACCATTTTGACACTGTAGCAGGAAGCAAGTTTGAATGAAGCAACACAACCAAATAAAACCTCAGGAGTGCATGTCCCGTGGCTGATACAGAAGGTCCTGTGTTATTTGTGTGGGGTTGTGCAAACATCAACAAGGAAGCCCGCTGAAGGCAGAGGCCATGTTCCCTGAAATAGATAGGTATAAAAGGCCCTCCCAGGGCAACTGTGTGGAAGATTGCTTTCCTCAGCAACAAAACCTGATCTACTGTCACCATGACTGGCTGCCATTCCTGTCTCCAAGGATGCTGCAGCGTTCCCATGGGCCCGGCCACCACCCTCTGCTCCTCTGACGTATACTGTCCGCATGAAGTCTGCCTGCCCAGCACCTGTCCGCACAAGATCAGTCTCCTTCAGCCCACCTGCTGTGGCACTTGCCCCCCACCCTGCTGTGTGCCTGATTCCTATGTGTCATCCTGCTGGCTGCTCAACAAGGGCTACCCTGCCCCAGATCTGACAGGGATCTCTGTTTCCACCTGTGTCCAATCTTGTGAGTGTAAACCCTCCTGCTGCTAAATGAAGGCGTGTAAAGAGCCTACCCACCTTGCCTTAAGGATCTGCAATGGTTGGCAAAGGGCTTTAGTTAGACACTCTGGAAGATGCTTTGACACTGGGACTTCGTTTTTGCAGAAGGATTCTTCCTGTGTTTTGAACAATGATTTCAGAGGAATGGAAAAAATGTAGTCAAGGATCTCCTTATTTTAAAAGTAAATAAACACCACCATCCCCCAGAACCTGTGCTGTCTCAGTGTTTAATGCTATAATTACATAAAGACTCTTGACGCATGCATCATGAAGCTGAAAGGTTACAGCAGAATTATACTTTCTGATGACATCAACACAAATCTCATAGCTGAAGGTAAGTCACACAAGGATACATAGATACATGGAGAAAATTGCCTGAATCATAAAACATTCATTCACTCTAAGCTTAGAATTGTTTTACATTTCAAGATCAACACCTAGCACCTACGTTTATTTTTTTGTTTTCCCTGAATATATAAACAACTCAAATGTGTCGTTAAAGACACAGACAAGCTGGTCAATAGACATCTATACACTCACATTCCAAGCATTTCTCAAATGCCTCTGATGTCCCAGGCATCTCCTCAAGTGCTTGAAGGAAATAAACAAGACCAAGGATACAGTTTCCATCACAAGGGCCTTGCACTGGCATGAACAATAGAAATGTAAGGGAAACTGTAGTATGTAATGTGTCAGAATGAAGCAAGGTCAACTTGATAGCATAGACAATTGTGAAAACATCTGGAAGGACTAATTTGTAAATTATATATATTTTTGAGGTATATGGGCCAAACCCTCAAGAATGAGAATGGTTTGGGAAGCAGAGAACTAGCACAGAACATTTGAAGCTAAAGCAGCAATCTAAGTGAGATGACAGAGGGTACATTTTCATTTACGATAAACACAGTATTCAAACAAAAGCCAAACAGCCTGCTCTTTGTACATGTAATGCATGACACTTCACGGTGGCCGCATCTAATGCTTTTCCAGTCACCATTCTTCTTTTAGGCATGCCATGTTGGTTGAACAACAACTCACCAAGGACTCTGTCCTCTGTGCTTAACCAAAAATCACTTTCTATCCAGTAGACTATGTACTTTAGATGCCACCGGCTGAGTGTTTTGTGTGAGAGCCACGTGAAGATGTCGGAACCGTCAACTATTGCACGTTAGACATGGTTGTGTTAGAGCCCTGTGACAATGTCGGAACTGTCAGCTAGTGCACACTAGACATTGTTGTGTCTCATCTTCTGCCGACAGGAAGACAAATCAAGGCCAGCTGAGGTGAAGAATGCTGTAGAAGGCATCTCAGAGGAATTTACTATCCAGTTGAAGATCCAAGAGTGAAAAACAAATAAATATGCAGATGGGAGTCCATAACACATTTTAATAAAGTCCTTCATTCTACACTGCATTGCTACAATCGCCATCTTAAACCTACTGTTAACTCTGTGAATCACGTGATTGCTCCTTTGAATCCCATTTTGTCTTATTTTAAAGTGCATATGTCATTCATGTGAAAATGAATTAGGGGGCCGGGCAGCGATGGCACACACCTTTAATCCCAGCACTCGTGAAGCAGAGCCAGGCGGATTTCTGTGAGTTCGAGTCCAGCCTGGTCTACAGAGAGAGATTCAGGAACTAAAACAACACAGAGAAACCCTGTCAAAAAAGAAAAAGAAAAAAAAAACAACAACAGAAGAAGAAAAAGAAAACTAGTTAGGTTCATTTTCCTTTCATCAAATATCTGATCAAGAAGAGCAAGCGAGGTTTTTTGGTTTTGGTTTTGGTTTGGTTTGTTTTTCATTTGTTTATTTTTTTTCTCTTTCCAATGGTTTTTATACTTCGGCTCATCTTTAAGAAAAGAGAAGCTGTGGAAAAATAAAATGTAACACCACCTATAAAAGGTCACTGAACCAAAAAAATAAATCACTTCCTATAGATTTATTTCAAACAATGAAAAAGAATCTAACCCCATACCATGCTGTCTGATTCATTGCTTGCTCAGGAGAGCCTGAATTTTATTATCACTAAATAAAGAAATGCTTGAAGTTTATATTGTCAGATGAAATAGTCACATTTATAGATAAGTAGATAATTTAAAATTAAGAAGAGGGGAGGAAGATTTCAAACCTAAAAGTGTACATGAGGTGTCACTTGCTCAAATTACTTGTAACTCACACCAGGTTGGGCATGTCAGAATGCTGTAAAAATAAAATGTGACGATCTTATGACAAAAATACTGGCCCCGTGAGTCAAAACTACAACTGAATTAATAAGGGCAGGAACTCTTAATAGACAAGAAAATACCAAACTGATTAGATAATCTTTGTGGAAAAGGGTGTCATAAACAAAAGCAGATGAGAAGGAAGCCTTCTGATTGGACTCTCACCCACTGGGGAGGGTATAAAAGAGTCCAGACTGACAGGAGACATTTGAACCTCAGAGACTTCATCTTTACATTGGACCAAAGCCAACCAGACTCCATCGCCATGGCTTGCTGTGTCGCCCGCTGCTGCAGCGTCCCCACCGGCCCTGCCACCACCATCTGCTCCTCTGACAAGTCCTGCCGCTGTGGAGTCTGCCTGCCCAGCACCTGCCCACACACCATTTGGCAACTGGAGCCCACCTGCTGTGACAACTGCCCCCCACCCTGCCACATTCCTCAGCCCTGTGTGCCCACCTGCTTCCTACTCAACTCCTGCCACCCGACCCCAGACCTGCTGACTGTCAACCTCACCACCTATGTGCAGCCCGGCTGTGAGGAGCCCTGCACCCCAAGGTGCTGCTGACCTGTGGCTCCCGTGCTCAGAGACTGATACTGCAGACCCCAGGAGCTGCCTAACCCCTGTCCACTTGTCTCAGAAGTTGTTAGAATGTTAAAGTAGGCAGATGGTCAGGGCTGTGAACACCCTACCTTTGATTTTAATGGCAAGAAAGCTCAGAAATTTGCTATTGCAAATGGGATGAATGGTCATGTGATTCATTTGAACAGGTGAATGTCTTCCATTATGAAAATGCTATTGAAATCTTTAAGATTTCAAATTATGGGGTTTGGGATCATGTTGCTTCTAGGATCTCATTTCCTGTATTGAGTATCTTCAGAGGCAAAATAATCTCCGGATGGGTCTTCTAATAAACTGTATTTCCCTGGCCATGTATGTTCTTTATTTATGGTAGTGTTTGAAATTCGTTTCTTGCATTTCAAAATAGAGGATCAGTTTTTTTTTTTAATTGTAGAAAGTTCCAGAAGAAGGCAGCATTGGAGCTAGTATGCTGGCATGCCACCCTAACCTCTTGTCTGTCTTTAACGTCCATCTTCTGTCCTTTCCCTCAAACTCACAGAATCCTCAGAACAGCACTACATAATGATATGAGCAAAGCTGCTTAAGTTATTAAGTGTTCTCATAATTATAAAGTTAGTTACTAAGGCAACCAGAATTTAACCCCAGGTGTGTCTGACTCTAGAGCCCAATTCTTTCCCACATCATAAAGCCTCCAGTGCAAGCAGATGAAGAAATTTGATCAGCACCTATGACACAGATTCAAAACATGCATGAAAAATGTAAAAAAAAAAAAATGTAATCTTCCTCAACAAAATCATCACATCCAATTTTGACAGGAAGGGGATAAATGGGCTCTAGTCCAAGTTGATAGGGATTCAGCTGTAAGATCTGGGTCATTCCTGCCTCATTTTCACTCACAGAGCTCAAAGTGGTCGACTCTGGGCACTAATACATGCCTCATTTGCCATCTGTTATAACAGAAGTGCTAGTCTAGGAGTCAGTGGAATGCCAGCTCCTCTTAGGTGACAGATGAAGAACTAGAGCTAAAACTTCCATCAAAGCCGGTACAGCTGTATCTGTAACTCCAGTAATCAGGAGGCTGAGATGGGAGGACAGAGAGGTCAAGGCCAGGCTTGAGAAACACAGGGAGATTCTATCTAAAAAAGAAAGAGAAAGAAAGTAAGAAATTGGCTAATTGAACCCATTAGCTGATTTTATGAACATACATAAATTTATATCAGAGATATAAATTTTCTGAGCCTTTTCTGAGCCTATGAAGAATTTGTGTATTATATGTGTAGTATACATGCAATATATATATATATATATATATATATATATATATATATATATATATATATTCTTTTACTACATAATACATATACACATACAAACAAACAACACTCTGGAAACACCCTGAGATAAAGACAAAACAATGTTTGTGTGTTCAAAAAACGAGTAGGGTGAAAACACAGAGCAGTAAATGCCTAAATAAACCTGTCTTACAATATCTTCAGAGGCACATCAGTGTCACTAGAGAGGGATATACCAGAGCATCCTCACAGGCTTCTTGATGCTTCTGCTTTGAAAGTCTGCCATTTATTCAAGAATCACAAGCACAGGGCTTCCATTTTACAGAAACTGTAGCTCATTGCCTCTGGATCCTATATTTATTAGTCTTTAGCAAGTGAGTCACCAGATCACCTAAGGACTATTATCTCACCTTTCCAGGTCTCACTAGCTTTGTTTATAAGCAGAGTCATTTCCAGGTCTCTTAGGGCCACTGAAGAGAAAATACATTCATCAAGTATTGCATGTCATGTCAATAAAAAAGATTATCATCATGTATTTGTTATTTAATAACTGTTTGAGTCTATTCATACAATCTTAAATCTCATTTATAACTAGAGAGGCATGATATTCTGCATACACAATAATAAGTCTTTTTATTGTAGATACAACGTAATGGCATACCCTAAGTAGATTGGCATCTTTCGGCCATGAAAATCTGATGATCTGCACACCACTTTTTCTTTATAACGTCTCCAGAAAATGTCAAAGAGCCATCCTTCCCTTTTTCATTTTGCTCTTAGAACCTAATTATGATTTCTAACATCAGAGATTTATAATATATGTATGATAAGCCTTTCCAACAGACTATAAATTCCATGAGAACAGAGATCAAGTTTATTGTGTTCACTGCCAACATTTATCACAGCACCTGGAATTATTCCTCAATAAATGACTATGTCATTAATTTTTGTGATGAATAAGACAGGGCTAAGGAAATAGCTCAGTTGGTAAAGTGTTTGCCTTGCAAATGCAAGGACTCAAGTCTGATTGCTAGAATCCACATTTAAAAATAAATAAATAAAAATAAAGCCAGGCAAGGTGGCACATGCCTTTTATCCCAAACTCTCAAGGCAGAGGCAGGTAGATCTCTGTGAGTTTGAAGCCAGCCTGGTCTACAGAGAAAGTTCCAGGACAGCTATGGCTACACAGAGAAACCCTGTCTCAAAAAACAAAAACAAGCTGGGGTCATTCTTGGGGATTCTTGGCAACTTCCCTAGCACCGAATTTCTCTCTATCCCTATCATGTCTCCCTCCATCATGGTATCTCTTTCATTGTTTTCCCACTCCATCCCTGTTTCAGCTCGACCATCCCATTCCCTTATGTTCCAATCCTCTATCCCCTATCCTCCATTGCTCACCCCTCATCCCCAGTCTACTCATGGAGATCTCATCTATTTCCCCTTCCCAAGGTAATCCATGTGTCCCTCTTTGGTTCTTCCTTGTTAGCTAGCTTCTCTGGAGTTGTGGGTTATTGTCTGGTTATCCTTTGCTTTACATCCAGTATCCACTTATGAATGGGTGCATGTTTGTCCTTCTGAGTCTGAGTTACCTCACTCGGGATGATATTTTCTAGTTCCAAACATTTGCCTGCAAATTTCATGATGTCATTGTTTCTGATGTCTCTGCTGAGTAGTACTCTATTGTGTATATGTACCACATATTCTTAATCCATTCTTCAGTTGATGGGCATCTAGATTGTTTCCAGGTTCTGGCTATTATGAATAATGCAGTGCTATGAACATAGTTGGGCATGTATCTTTGTGGTATGATTAAGCATTCCTTGAGTATATGCCCAAGATTGGTATAGCTGGGCCTTGAGGAACGTTATTTCCCAATTTTCTGAGAAACTGCTGCGCTGATTTCCAAAGTGGCTGTACAAGTTCACACTCCCACTCACACCACAGTGGAGGAGTGTTCCCCTTGCTCCACATCCTCTCCAACATAAGCTGTCTGCAGTGCTTCTGATCTTAGCCGTTGTGACAGGTGTAAGATGGTGTCTCAGAGTCATTTTGATTTGCATCTCCCTGATGACTAAAGATGCTGAGCAATTCCTTAAATGTCTTTCAGACACTTTTGGCCATTTGAAATTCTTCCTTTGAGAATTCTCTTTTTAGTTCTATAGCCCATTTTTAATTGGATTTTTAGGTATTTTTATGTCTAGTTTCTTGAATTCTTTATATATTGGAAATCAGCCCTCTGTCAAATGTGCCATTGGTGAAGATCTTTTCCAGTTCTGTAGGCTGTCATTTTGTCTTATTGACAGTGTCCTTTGCCCTATAGAAGCTTCTCAGTTTCAGGAGGGCCCATTTACTAATTGTTGCTCTCAGTGTCTGTGCTACTGGTGTTATATTTAGAAAGTGGTCTCCTGTGCCAATGCATTCAAGACTACTTCCTACTTTCTCTTCTATCAGGTTCCATGTAAATGGTTTTATATTGAGGTCTTTGATCCACTTGGACTTGAATTTTGTGCATGGCCATAGATACAGATTTATTTGCAATCTTCTACATGTTCACATTCAGTTACGCCAGCACCATTTATTGAAGATGCTTTCTTTTTCCATTGTATAGTTTTAGCTTCTTTGTCAAAAATCAGATGTTCATAGGTATGTGGATTAATATCAGGGTCTTTAATTCAGTTCCATCGGTCCACATGTTGGTTTTTATGCCAATACCAAGATGTTTTTATTACTTTAGCTCTTCAGAAGAACCTGAAGTTAGGGATGGTGATGCCTCAAGAAGTTGCCTTATTATAAAGAATTGTTTTAGCTATCCTAAGGTTTTTTTGTTTTTCCAGATGAAGTTGAATATTGTTCTTTCAATGTCTATGAAGAATTGTATTGGTATTTTGATGGAGTTTGCATTGAATCTGTAGATTGCTTTTGGTATGATTGCCGTTTTTATTATGCTGGTTCTACCTATCCGTGAGCATGGGAGATCTTTCCATTTTCTTATATCTTTTTCAATTTCTTTCTTCAAGGACTTTTAAGTTCTTGTCATACAGGTCTTTCACTTGTTTAGTTAGAGTTACCCCCAAGGTATTTTATATTACTTTGGCCCAGCTAAGACTATTAGCAATAGTAGAGAGAGTGTCTGAACTGAACTGGTTTACCCCAGTGATCAGATCGGTGAATACCCTAACTGTCATCACAGAGCCTTTCTCCAGTGACTGATGAAAGCAGATGCAGAGATCCACAGCTAAATGCCAGGCAGAGCTCCAGGAGTCCAGTCGGAGAAAGAGAAGAGGGATTCTATGAGCAAGTGCATCAGGATCATGATGGTGAAACCTGCAGAGATGACTAAACTGAACTAGTGAGAACTCATGAAAGTTGAATCAATGGCTGTGGAGCCTGCATGGGACTAGACTAGGCCTTCTGTATCCTGAGACAGTTGTGTAGCTTGGTCTGCTTGGGGGCCCCCTGGTGGTAGGATCAGAATCCATCCCTGGTGCATGAGTGGGCTTTTTGGAGTCCACTATCTATGATGGGACACCTTATGCAGCCTTGAGGCAGGGGGAAGAACTTGGATTTGCCTCTACTGGATGTGCCTCCCCATGGGAGGGCATCGGGGGGTTAGGAGGGGGAGGCTGGAAGGTGTGAGGAGGGAAGAGGGGGATCTTTGTGTGTAAAATGAATGAAAATTTTTTCTTAATAAAAAGAAAACCAAAAAAAAAGGGAAAAAAAAAACAAAAAAAACCTAAAAGTTAAAGATTAAAAAAGGGGGAGCATTGTGGCACATGCATGTAATCCCAATGCTGAGGAGATGGAGACAGGAGGATCCCTGGAGATCACTAACCAGCCAAATCTCCTACTTGAGCAGCTCCAGGCCAGTGAGAGACCCTGTCTCAAAAAGAAAAGGTGGAGGCTTGGAGAAATGGTTCAGAAGTTAAAGGCACTTGCTAGTCTTGCAGAGGATCTGGGTTCAGTTTCCAGCACCCACATGACAGCTCACCCACATGACCATGCTTCCAGTTCCCAAGGGTCTGGTGCCTTCTTCTAGACTCTGCTATGCCC